GGGGGGGGGATAGTGATAGGAGATAAGCTGTAAATGCAAATGGAATTGCAGCTGCGGTGTTTGGATTTGGATATGGCAATGTGAATTGGGGAATCGAAAGAGAGTACATAATTAAGGTAACATCGTAGGGAATAACATGGGATTACAGTTGCAGTGCTGGTGTTTGAGGGGCTTATGCGGAATAAATTGAGAATCACTCACCATCAACCATTCCTAGGCCAGATCGAAGAATTGGCACTAGAGCTAAGTCTGCTGGGTCAATTCCCTGGGTTTCATACTCGATTCCGAGGGGGGTTGTGTCCTGGGAATGAGTGTTAGGAGATATAATGCTAGTGATTGATGGAGGCTTAGGCTTGGGGATCTATTTACCGTTCCTGTTTTGACCAACTTTAGCCCTGAGAAGGCTTCCACGCCTAGAATATTGGCAATATCATGGACCAAGCCTCTTGTCTCCCGCGGGGTGGTGGAAGATGAGCGGATTAGGGAGAGCTTGGCTTGGAGACAAGGGTGGGAGGAGAGATGAACATTTGATGGGAGAGACATAGTGAAGTGTAGAGTATATTATGAAGAGGAGAGAAAGAGAGAGAGAAGAAGAAGAAGAAGAAGAAGAAGAAAAAGAAGAGGAAGAAGAGGAGTAAAGTAAAGTAACAGCTCCCTTGTTATCTTCCCCTCATATACAAAGACCCAGGAACCTTATCGGACTCCACCTGATCTCCGGTTTCCGTTGTCTTGGCAGACTTTTCCCTTCTACTTCACTCTAACCCTTGAACGACAATGCCGTCAACTACCGAAGAGGGAGATAACCCCTCAAAACATACCAATCCTTTAAGCGAGACCCAAAATAACGAATCATGGCAAAGCTCCGGTGACCGCGTAGCACCTGCACCACAACCCGCATCCGCCGCGCAACCCCTCTCCAAACACGCAACTCACATCTACACCGTCTCCTATTTAATCTTCTTCTCGCTTCTTGGCACACTGGCCCGCCTAGGTCTACAGGCTCTGACATTCTACACAGGCGCCCCCGTCGTGACAGGGGTGCTATGGGCGAATGTAACCGGAAGCCTAATAATGGGGTTCCTGAGCGAAGACCAGAAGTTATTTCGCGAAGAGTGGGGTAAAAAGCCAGCCAAAGAACCAGCTACAGACAGAGCCGAGGACGAACCCAAGATCAAGAACAAGAAACACATGGCCGTGAAGAAGACCATCCCATTGTATATTGGTCTGACGACCGGGTTCTGCGGTTGCTTCACCTCCTTCTCATCCTTTATGCGGGATGTCTTCCTCGCCCTGGCAAATGCCCTCCCCGATCCGTCGCGGCCTACCGGATCCCATCCGGCCTCCCGTAATGGCGGGTATAGCTTCATGGCGCTGGTCGCTGTGATTCTACTCACCGTGTCGCTGAGCCTATCGGCGCTTATCGTCGGCGCGCATCTTGCCCTGGCTCTACAACGCGTGACACCCACCGTGCCCTTTGCGTTTACGCGACGAGTCCTCGACCGTGTTGTGGTCGTGCTTGCCTGGGGATGCTGGCTCGGAGCAGTGTTCCTGGCTATCTGGCCGCCAGACCGACACAATGGCCCGGATGTGTGGCGTGGCCGGGCGGTGTTTGCTATTGTCTTTGCACCGCTTGGCTGTCTTCTTCGGTTCTATGTCTCGCTGCACCTGAATAGCAGGATTCCGACCTTCCCGCTCGGCACGTTTACGGTTAATATCTTTGGGACTATTATTGAGGGTCTTTGCTATGACTTGCAGCATGTCAGTGGTCTTGGAGCCGTGGTTCCTGCTGCTATGACGGGTTGCCAGGTGCTGCAGGGTGTTATGGATGGATTCTGTGGGAGTACGACTACTATCAGTACTTGGGTTGCTGAGTTGAAAGGACTGGCTCATCGACGCCATGCGTATTTGTATGGAAGTGCCAGTGTGGTTGTCGCACTTGGGTTTTTGGTTGTTATAATGGGCTCATTGTTGTGGACGCGTGGGTTTGCCGAGCCTGTGTGTGGATAGATAGCTGGTGGTGTGTAATATAATGTATAATATAGCTAAAAGGATTCAAAATGACAACTACATGGATTAAAATGTACAATCTACAGACATAATCAAAATTACCCAAGAACACCAACACCAATCCAACGCTGTAATTCCCTCTTAGCCCTTCATACAATATAACATGTAGCATCCTAAAACAAAAACAATCCCCTACTCCCGACTAGGCGCAGGTCCAATCTCAACAGCCGGACCACTCCCACCGCCAAACCTCCTGGCTGGACTCGCCGACCGAAACCCATCAACACGCAAAAGACACTGATTCAAACTCCTTCCCCCCTCCAAAGTCATTCCAACAATAGACTCAGCCGCAATCCCACCCCCAACCGGACTAGCAGAACTCAGCGGCGTAGACCGACTAAACGGACACCTGATATGCGATGTGATCGCATTTCCTTTCCTAGGTGCATACATCTCCATCCCGTGGACTGGTAGCTCGGCGCGGTTCTCTGGCATGCTGATGTAGTCGAGCATCCTTTCTTGCACGCTTGCTTTGGTTTTTGAGGTAGTGGTGTCGTTGCTGGGATTTGGGCTTCGGCCTGCTGTTACGGAGGTTGTTGTTCCTAGGAGTGGTTGTGTTTGGCTTTTGTTGCGAAGGGATTTGCGGTGGGCGAGGTCTTGAGCGTCTAGGCGGGTTTGGTATCCTGGGATCGATTGTAAGGAGAGTCATGTAGGGTTTGATTACAATTGAGTTCGTGCGGAAGTGGGATTGAAGGTGAATGTATGTGTTTGATATGAACAGCCACGGACAGATGTGTAGATCTTTAAATCGATATAGAGATAAAGGTATATGATGAAGGGGGGAGTGGGAGGATAACTCACTACGCCACAGAGCAACATATGCTCCCATAACCACTATGCAGAGAGAGAAGAAGCCGAACATCACCCCTAGCTCGTTGCGGAGCGAGGGCATCGGTACAAAGGGTGGGTATTCGTCAGTAGCCATGGTGAGGGTTGAGTCTGTAGTATAACCAAGTTGTGTTGGGAGTTGAGTACAGTGAGGGTAGGGAATATGCCCACTCCTATAAGAATGAAAGATCTCTCTTTCTACTCCGTAGTGGTATTTCCAATGTCAATGTGGAGTGCAGCCTAGGAATCTGACAGCTCCCGAGGTCTTTGCGTTTGCTCTGGTAATGGGTGTTTGCCCACCTGCAGTCAAATGGAAAAGGAAGAAAAGGGGGTTCTTTCAAGCCTTGAACCAATAGACACAGTGAGAATGAAGAAAATCAAAACATCCATGGATGTTCTTTGAGGTTGCAACTTTGGATTTCGAGTAACAAAGAAAGCCACCCCATGCCCGAGTCCAACCATGTAAAGAGGCGTAGACTAACGAAAACAAAGTCTGAAAGGAAAAGCAGAAGCAATAAAAGGTAAAATGTATACAACATAGTCAGTTCGTATTGGCCATATCTATATATACAAATTAGGTAAACCCCATGTACTCCGTACACACGGGAGAATCTGCATCAGAAACAAAAAGGTATCATGTACAACATGCGTACAACATGCAACTCTATACTCCCGACAGTACCAAGTATATACAGAGTATAGTACTTTAGCATGTCGGGGAATGCAATAGAAAAAAAAAGGGAGCTCAAAGATCCAATCCCACGCCAGAATACAAGGTCATGGATGCAAAATAAACAAAATGGTAAAATCCGCTGCAAAAAGACCATAAGAAAATGAAGAAGAAGAAGAAGGGTCGCAGAAGTATGTCGAGCGGAGTAAAAGATAACAAAGTTCGAGCGGTGCCCGGCGTTTCACGTGTCGTGCGTGTCAAGAGAAAAAAGAAGTAGGTTGAGGCGGGAAAAAAAAGGTATATGTATCGAAAGTCGGAAGAATCTCAAGCTGGGGTTTCGTTTCAAAGCAACACATGCTCACAATCACCCAAGCATCACAGCCGCCAGAGCAGTAAAGGTCAACCCAATAGCCATGCCAATCCACGGAGTCTGGCCGAGGGAACCCTCACTGCGCGCCTGGAGGACATAGCGAGCAGCAAGCAAGCGCATCTCGTCGGATGGCAGATCGCGATCCGCGAACGGAGCGAACTGTTCTCGCGGGACAAGTTCTGGTAATGAGACGGCGGGCGAGTTGTGCGCGAAGTCGGAGGAGAGGCTGGCGCCTGCGGCGGGTTGTTGTGAGTCGGCGAGGACGGCAACCGGGGCGAGGAAGGCCAGGAAGGTAGATGGTTTCATTGTGAGGGAATTATAGGTGTATAGTATGGGAATAAACTGGCGCGCAAATGCTTTGTGTTGGTGCTTACGGGGAATAAGCAACGCCAAGCTGGCTGGTGCGGGTCGTGGGGGGACGGAGGGTCTGGAGTTGGCAAGGCAACAGTGCTGCAGATGGGGGTGGAGAAGAGGTTGGAAGTGACGATGTGACTCGGATGAGTCTGTTCACAAATAGGAGTTGGGAGTGTCTCAGAACATGCAACTTAAGATCGAGTGGGTTGCTGTGTTGGATTGTCGCAAATCAGGCAACCGGGGGAATAGGGGGCCAAACACGGGGAGAGGGCAGTGTCCACTCCACAGTCGCCTTTACTCTCTCTATCTCTCTCAATTGTCAGAATCCAACTCACTCTTAGTCGTAGAGAAGGATTGAAAGAGAAAACGAAGAAGAAAAAAAACCCAAAAGAACCGAAACGACCCAGGGGGGGGGGAAGGGAGATTAAGGGAAAATCACGATGAAGCCAGTCAGGGCGAGGGCTTGATTGGCCGAGCCGCTCTTTGGCTCTCTTTGGCTCTGGGCCATGGGTGGGGGGACTGTCCCTGAATTCTGTAGGCTCTGATTGGCCACTCGATTTCCCGTGTTTGAGGTTATCCAGTGTTTATTTTATTCTTTAATCTCCGTTTGCTGTCAGGGTTATCCAATTATTTCATATTCATATTGACATCTATAGTATACATACCTTACTCTATAGTCCAATACTATAAATACTACAAATACAAATACAATAGAACCACATTCCATTCCATCAAATTCTAATTATAGTCCTAAGACATCCCGAGGCTTAACGGACAGCGCCACAGATGATCATCAACACAGGCGCGAAATTAGAGCGAATAGACGAGCACGCCCCGCAGGCAGGATGACGACGCGCATATATGGGCGATACCAAAATCAAGATATTTAGAACCCTTGCTCTTGGCATCGACCAGATCAAAGAAAATGGACCATCGATTTTCCAATGCTGGGTAGGGCAAGGGCGCGATGCCTCGCACTGGTAGCAATCCAACCGTCGACCGGCCTTGATATCCATTTTAATGCGCACCCGAGTTGTTGTCCATGCTGTCCCAGCACAAAACGCACCTCTAGCCCCAAAAACGAGCAGTTGAGATCAAAATGCTCACACAAAGAACCAAAGTCCAGCTTTAGGGGTCCGGTGTGTGTTCTTCAGTTTTGCAGTTCACACAAGTATTTGCGGTATTGTCCGTAGGCGTATCCATTGGTATGGCTTCTCCGTCCTGCGGAGAGACCGGAGACGGCGACTTTTTAGATTGACTGGCCCGCAAATTTTTCAGCCTGACCTGCTCTCGCGATCTGCGAACTGCAAGGCGTATCTCGCTGGGTAGGGAATTGGTTTGTACTAAACAGTCCGCACACGCGCGGCAGTAATACCCGGCTTGGGCGTTCTTCGACTCAACGAGTCGGCGCTTGCTGCTGGGGGCGGTGATCTCACCGCAGTGGACACATGGGCTTTTCAAGACTCGGGGGTTGCTTTGCATGCGGGTCGCTCTGAGCTTTCTGAGCGCCGCGATTTTGACGGTGCTTGGCAAGGAGTCTGTTTCAAGTAGGGACCGCGTGCATGGCTGGCAGTAGTAACCTGCCGCGGGATTTTGGGGCTCAACGAGCCTACGTTTGCTGCTGGAGATGGTTATGTCGCCGCAGTGCATGCAGGGGTATTCATCGCGGCTCTGTTTCATCTGTTTGACAGACTTAGAATCGCCGGAGGACCCGCAAGTATGTAAAGGTATGGGTTCTCTCTTCGAAATGTCTGAGGCATTGTTTTTTGAGGCGCTGGGATGAGGACTCCTTTTCCGAATCCCTTTGCGGTACTCGAACGCTGCAAGATCTTGCTCGGTTGGGAGGGTGCCGTGGTGATTGATATGCCGAACGCATGTGCGGCAGTGAAACCCAGCGGATGGGTTATTTGCATCAATGAATTTACGGCTACTTCTCGGAGCAGTCATGGCGCCGCAGTGCCTGCATGGACTTGTTTTGCTAGCCTCTCCGCTCGCCCTCATCCGTCTTCGCCGATAGATCGATGCAAGCTGCTCCTCATTTGGCAGATGGCCATGAGCACGGGCAATCCGAACACATGCTTTGCAGTGCCAGCCACTGGAAGAGTTGCCAGGCTCGACGTGTCTTCTAGCCTTGTGGGTAGTTTTTCCACCGCAGTGCACGCAGAGCTCTGATGGCTTGGCTGCCGAAGTCTCATGGCGGCATTGTTGAGTCCATGATCCCTTCCCATGGCTTTGGAGAGTGCGTACAGGCCTCAAAAGATCACTGAGCAAGCTCCGTAGCGAAAACGAAGCTTTGTTGGCATGGTGTGGACTTGTCGTAGACCAGCGATGTGCGCAATGGGTGTCGCGTGATCGAGAAAAGGATCTTAGTTGTTGTGTTATGGTATGTCTTGTTTGCTGTCCCGTGCGGAAGAATTGCGCATAGGATATGTTGCATTGATATCCAAGAGGACGCAACGACATGGCGAAGGTTCGTGTGGCACCGGAGACACTCGATTGGGCCTATGCAGACATTGGAGAGGGAAGGCGCGTAGTTGAATTGGGCCGACTTGTGGCTCGTGTTCGACCGTAATTGTTCTTGGGCATGGAGGATGTAATGGTGATCAAATGCTGTGAATTCGACACGCGCAAATAAAGTTCGTGGTAGCTTGTCCAGGGCATATTGGGCCTTGGCATTATTAGTGCCTTAATTCCAAGGCCTATATGGAACTGATAAAACTGATCACCAGGGCGGCCCTTTTGGGAAGTAGTACACAAAGCAAGAAATTGAAGGCGCAATAAATTGGCTATCAAAGAGAGACCTAAGGTAAAAAGAAGAGGAGAGAGGAAGAGCAGCGAACTATCTCTACTGGAGCCCAGCACAAACAAATAGAGTCACGTGATTACATGTTCAAGCAAAAGGCTTGCGTCTCTATGATATGCACTATAATACAATCTATTAGACCCCAGTCTACCTAGTTTTAGTTATCGCCAAGGTAATCCATAACCAAAAGGATTTTTGTAATAAGCTCGCTCGAATTTCTTTCCATTCATCATAAGGTCCCTTGGGTATAGGATTTAGAGCATCTCATCCCAGTTCGGTGTGACTGTGAACTTGCCAGACAATTGGCCCATGGACCAAACATGTTTTTGTGTGTCTTCCTCCGACTCCGGTGGCACCTTGGACAAGATGACGGCTTCCTGGACGAAACCAACCGGTGCTCCACGATCCAATTCCATACTAATTCCACCCCAGTCTAGGGTTACTCGGCCTGACTTGTGTACGTTCAATTTGCCGACACGGCCTGTGGGCAGAGACCATGGTTGGCCAGCTGTGATGACACTGTTTTCTTTTAATTCCGTTGGCTGCGTATTTTCCACAATCTCCACGTCATCACCTGCTTCGCGCTTGATCTCGTTCTGGGGAGGTGCGGCTGTAGCTGCGGCTGCAGCTTGGTGTTGGTTGTCTTGGGCAGAACCGGCGACTCTAAGGTAGGGGGTCATCGGCGGGAATTGCATGAGGAACATTTGGCCATGTAGAGGGTTGTCTTCTTCCTGTTCTTCTTCCTTCTCCTCACTCGCTTGGTCACCTTCCTGTCCTTCCACTGCGGCCGGTTTGTCTTCGGCAGCTCCTTCAGTGGTTTCTGCTTCTGTGGTGGCCTTCTTTGACTCCTTGGGAACAAGAAGATCCCGGATGATAGCCAAATCCTCCATGTGTCGGTCATATTCGTCAATTTCCTCTTTAGTGTGAAGTAGGCTGCGTGGGTCTGGGAGTTCGGGCTCAGGAGTGGGTTGAGTCGATCGTAGTTCTGTTGTGCTCCTCTTTGTTGGGCTCATGCTCTGAGCCGAGCGCACACGAACGTTATGCTCCGGGAGGAAGTCATCGTCATCTGCGTGTGGAATAGCATCCGGCATAGTTGCGTCGTCGTCTTGAGGTTCGGGTTTGACCTTGGTAGGCGTACGGCCGACATCCTGCGCAACTTTCTCCTTCTCTGCTTTTTTGCGGAGATCGGCAGTTCTGCTTGTGCTAGATTCCATGTTGACACTAATGACTCTTTCTTCATGTTCATGTCGCTCAACACGGACAGGACGAAGTCCGCGTTCGCCGCTCGACCTGCTAGGTTGTTTGCCCTTGAAGTCCTTCGGCGTATCCCAATCCTCCTCGTCGCTATCAAGGTTGATATGATCGATGCTGACACGGAGCGCATTCTCTTCGTCGTCTGAAGAATCATATGCACGTCCACGGTTGCCCCCGGTAAGACCAGACCGATTGTATCCAGAGCCTGCGCCGCCAGGGCCTCCTCCATATCCACCGCCTCCGCCTCCACCACCATAACCACCACGGCCTCGCTTTCCACCTCGTCCACCAAACCCACTCATGCCCATAGCCATAGGTCCACCACGGCCACGGAATCCAGCACGACGAGCAGTACCACCACGGCCACGCTGAATAGCGGCAGCCTCCTTCAGACGCTCATTGTATCGTTCCTGTTCAAGTCTCTCGATCTCATCTCGCTCCTGCTTGCTGCGACGCCCAACGGCCTTCGGTTTGTGTTTCAGAACTGGTTTGGGCGGCTCACCACCAAGCGCCGACGGCGGCCGATTGCTGGGCGCGATGCTGCCGGAAGGTGTGCGTTTGTTCAGGGATTGAAGTCGTTGCACTGAAGCTCGACTCGCAGGACCGGGCGCGCCGGTTGCGGTGGAAGCATTTTGCGCAGTGCCCCCGCCAGCGGGAGTAGGAGTAGTTGTGTCAGTTCGGGCACCGCGGTTGGCGGCTCCTCCACGGGCGCTTCCACGAGGGGCAGCTTTGGGAGGCATTGTCGTCGCTTTTCAGACAAGGCGCTGAATGCGGCTTGCTGGGCGGTTGGAGAAAAGTTCGTGTAGAGGGCTGAGGAGCTGGGTTGCACACCGCGTTACGCGCAGACTCAGCGTTAGGATAACTAGGTTCTGCTATCGGTAGCACACGACAATGCGACTGAAATTAAGCAAAGTGTCGTTTCGTAAAAGAACTGCGAGCGTTTTGAGGTTCGAGAAAGTTGAGCTCTTCAAAAAAGTTGCGGGGCCAATCACACCGCCCTTGTCAGGTGACTCATCCCACCAGATGTCTATCGCTGATCGGCGATGGATGTAGACGACGATGATTCAACTAAATGGAACCTTGGAGTATTTATTTATACAATAAACAAAATATTGAAACCCTTCCATTGACTCCCTGACTGCCTAGAAGACGAAATAAAGCAAGATTGGTACATCTTCTACAACTTGTCACGCTTTGATCTAGCCCTCTCTCGGAAGTATATAATACTTCCGCTACGAGTCGACCGTACACAACACACATGAAACCGACATAGACAATGATAAATAACAGTAGCATTGATTCCGAATGAGCGAGTGGATGTGACAAGAAGCATATGGCCCGCAGAAACACTAAGACGCCGAAGGGACACAACAACAACAGATCAACCGCTTGGCAGTGTATAATGGAGGGAGTATGGCTTGTAACCAGAGAAGGGAATGTGGAGTGAGAAGGGCAAATGATGGTAGTATGCTAGTATAATGACTGTCTCTGGCGCTGGCCAGAAGAGGGCGAAAGGAGAGAGTGAGGGCAGATGAGGTTGGCCCATAGTGAGGATGGTAAGATGGATGAGAAATCCCATGCTCACGTAGAAATTTGAAGGTGCGAAACAGTTCGGCGCTTAGAGATGGTGGGAGCAATTGCAACCTGCAGCCCCACTAGCGCTTTCGCTTCTTATTCTTGTCTGCTATGGACGAAGAGATAGGAGGGGTCGCAGGCGTTAATGAAAACTCCTCCTCATCTTCATCCATCTCTTCCCCGTTCTTCTTCACGGGGACACCCATATGGCGGCCGTAACGCCCTTTGCGACCATTGCCCTCATCCTCACTGAGACAGCCGTCAATTCCAATGCCTGCATCCTTGCAACGTCCACAGGGGCGCTGGCGGTCACAGCCCTTCTTGCTCTTGCGGCACCGCTGGCAGCGAGGCTTGGTGGAAAGATCTTCCTCATCCGCACCGAGTTGGTGCTGGAAGTTGACCGAGCCCCCCGAGACCTTCCGGGAAGACGCCGGGCTGAGAGGTGGAACAGGCGCCGCTGACTTCTCGGATAATTTGCGAGGAGCAGGCATAGCAATCTTGCTTTTGTTCGGTTTCGCAGGTGCAGGCTTCTGGTTGCGAACCTTGAAGGACGTCGGGCGACTCTTCGGCTTCTTTGCCTTGGGTGTAAACTCCTTGTAAAGAATATCCTCCTCAGCTTCACTTTTGATACCATCATCTGCGCCATCCGAGCTGTGGTCGCTGCTATCGGCACTGGGAAGGATGTCATCCAATCCCTTGAGGTGGCGCTTGATGGTTCCGGGCGGCAGCATTGGGCTTGAGTCCAACCTCTGGCGACGAGCTGGCAAGTCATCCTCGTCCTCACTAAAGTCTTCCCCATCGCTAGTAGCACCAGTAGACGAGGCAGCGTCAGCGGCACCACTGAAGGCATCGTCCAATGTCGAGGCAGAGGTGCGTCCGTGAGAAAAATTAGACGCATCGCCTAAACGTATCAATTGCATCGCCACATCCTCATCGGAGATGCAGCTTGCAATGGTGGGGTCAGGTGTAGGCAATACACCTGAACCACTCACTCGGCTAGCCGAATTGTTATAGACTCCCGTATCGCGCATGCGATTTCCATGGTCAGGAACCACGGGAGTCGCGTAAATCGTATTGCGCCCCGAGTGCACACCATATTCGCTGTGGCCATAGCTTTGCGGTGATGGAAGCGCATGCTGATAGCTATACGGGCGTTGTGGTGGGCGTGCGAAAGGCGACCCAGCGCCTTCCTGGCCAATCGATCGACGTTGGGGAGAGATGGAGGAGGTGGAGGTAGTGAGAGGCACTTGGGGAGGAACGAACAGCGGGAGCTCCTAAGGGGAACAGCTTGATTAGTGACAAGTCTTTAATAAAAAGAAAAGTCGTCTGGCATGAGTCACTCACAGAGCTATCGAACTTGGGTCGTTTCCGACGACCATCTTGTAGTATATTCTCCATGCTGATGTCAGAGCTAGCAAATAGTTCATTGCGAGCCCTGCGAGCATAAGCGCTCTCGGTATCGCTATAGTCATCATCATCATGGAAACCCCCATGGATGCTCGAGGCTCGGCTTTTGTTGCCTGCACGGGAGGGAGGCTTGTGCTGAGAAGCGCTGCGGAGACTCCTGTTGGACGGAGAGGTGCTGCGCTTTCTCGCAAGACGAGAGGCTGGCCGTGCTGGCTGATCCAACACCGGCGCCGCCCCATCTACCATCTGGAAAGGCTCTGCCAGACTAGGCCGCTTGCGAGGCTCGACATTGAAGCCGTTATAGAAGTGATCCCCATATGGTTGAATGGGAATAACTCGCACGTATACAGTCCTATTGTTCTTGAGATTCTCGTACCTTGCGATGAGGGTGGTCCCGTGTTCATCCTCGAAGCTGACCCCACTG